ACAAAACTCGCACCAAAACCTTAACCAAAAACCTAAACCTTCTGACCCTAGCCTTCAAAGTTCGAATGGCCTCGAGAAACTAACCCTAATCCCTAATATGGCCTCGGGCAGTCTCCTCAAAGCCCATTGGTCATGATTTTTGACCAATAGGAATGGAGATTTTTATTTTTCATCTCCATTCATCTGTATTGGTGCCCTAATTCCTCCCTTTGCTACCAAAATCCTTCTTCAATCCTTTTTCTTATGAGATTTACATAATGTATACTCTAAACACTAAATAAAAGAACCAAAATAAGTTTTCAAATGTCACCAATGTCTAATAAAGGTGACTCTAAATATTTAGAAGTTACTATCAACCAAAACCAATCTGAAAACCCACTATCAAAAGAAATTAAAGTTATACAAATTCTATAGTAATCTTTTTAAACAACCTCTTCTCAAAGTAATAATCAAATTATATTCTACAACCAACTAAAATCTACTAACATGGCTCTTACCATGTTACTTAATAAATTATATATTAAGTACATAATTACATTATTTTCATAAAGTAGCCAAACCACAATACGACAGCGCTTTTATGCTCCAAAACTCAACATCACGACTTTTGATGATCTTCTTGGTTTCTAAACTTATTAGCCTATATGCCTTTGTACCTTCACAATATCCAACAAATATACATTTTGTACTCTTTGCATCAAGTTTGGACCTCATGCAATCTGGTATCTTTGTATAAGCAATCCATCTAAAGATCCTTATGTGTAAAATACAAGATTTCTTACTATTCCAAGCTTCTTGTAGAATCATTGATATGAGTGCACTTGTAGGGTACTTATTCTTTTTGTATAGTGAAGTAACCATAGCTTTAGTCTAATACTCATGCCTAAGGTGTTGTACATGAAGCAAACTCCTTGCCACCTCCACAACAGTGTAATTTGCTCTTTCAACAACTCCATTTTTTTGTAGAGTGTAAGTAGTAGAGGTTTGTCTTGCAACACCTTGAATCTTCAAAAATTCATCAAAATACTTTGACATGTATTCACCTCTATTGTCTACGTGCAACACTTTGATCTTGTACTCACATTGTTTCTCTACAAGAGCCTTAAATCCCTTAAACCTTAAAAAACACTTACTCTTAGCTTTAATGATGTAAATCCATACTTTTCTTGAAAAATCATCAATGAATGTGACAAAGTACCTTGCTCCTCCAATTGATGGTGTCTTCATTGGTCCACAAACATTAGAATGTACAATCTCCAATAATTTGGTTGTATGTGTTGCAATTCCATTTGAAAATGAATCCTTTTGTTGTTTGCCTTGTATACAACCTTCACAAGTAAATGTCATGATATTGTTGCTGAAATAACCAAGATTCAAGCCACTTACCATGGATTGAAATTCCTTCATGAATTTAGCATTCAAATGACCAAAACATTGATGCTAGATTCTAAACTTATCTTGGTCTTGTTGAAAAATAGCAAATGTAGCCACTTCAACTCTATTCACCTTCTTACAATTGATGAATTATAGATTTCCATCTCTAAGGCCTTTGACAATATTTTCTCCATCCAATGTCTTTACAATACATCCATTCATGTCAAATTGAACCTTACAACCATGTGATACAAGTTTATTCACCGAAAGAAGGTTCTTCTTCATCTTTGGCACATGTAAGACTTCCTTCAATATGATCCTCTTGATTTGGTCCTTCACAATGATCTCCACAACAATTAAGTCAATTCCAATGACTTGTACCATATCATTGTCTTCTAATCAAATTTTGGTTGTTGAAATTTCTTCATAAGTATCAAATAAATACTTATATGATGTTATGTGTTTAATAGCACCCAAATCTATAATCCACTTAGACATCACAGCTATAGAGGCTCCTTCACTTGCTATGAAAGAATAGTCATCTTCACCAAAGTTATCACAAGCATTGTTTGTATTCTCTCTATCTTTTTTCTTCACTTTGTAGCAATTCTTAGCAAAGTGATATGATTTTTTATAAATATAGTAATTTTTCATGTTGTTCTTTGAACTATCATGTTGGTAAAAATAGCTACCTTTGTCTTGTCTTGAGAATAGAGCTGAATCCTCACTTATTGAATAAACTATTGTTTACACTCTTCAATCACTCTCAACTTCACTTATAAGACTTCTTACAAGTCTGATATTCTATCATAACCTCTTGTATTAACTTTGCCTCTCTTTGATCACCTCTCTTCTTTTACAAAACACTTCTAACCTCACAAAGCACTTTTTATCACAATAAGTGGATCTCTTAAGGAGATTAATACATAAAAGCACAAAGTTAGAGAAGTAATGATGAAACTCAGCAAAGAAATACAACACAAGTGTCCTAAAATATCAATCAAAGGTATTTAACAACCTCCAAGATTATAAATGTACTTAACAATAAGTAAGAGCAATAACAATATCAACAACTAGATGCAAAAGTAGGTTTAGAAGATACCAAATCCTAACATCAACAACAACCATAAGATCTACTCTTAACACCAACAAAGACTTCAAAGAACTTCAAAACTCACAACCAAAGGTGAGTGGATCCATAACCTATTAAAGAACAAGCACTTTGAAGTCACAACACTTAACATTAGTAATGTTGCATACAAAGAGAGTATAGAGTAAGATATGTCTCACTTCCAACATCCAATATTTATAGGTAGTGGTTGCTGCCCAAAAAGATAACTTCCACTCTTTAACTTTTGTACACATGGTCTTAGGATTCTTTTGGAAACTCTCTAATCTCAAGGGTATCCTATGTCATGCACTAATTACTCTTACCTACTCTTTGGATATTCCCTAGTTAATACTTTATCTTCTTGAAGTTGACTCTTGATCCTTGACATCGACCTATATCCATAGGATTTTCTTTCAATATACTAAGAGTCAATCCTTTGACCATTAGCAACTTATCTAAGGTAATATCCTCTACAAAGTAAGTTATTCTACTTTCACTTTTATTTCAACAATAATATCCTTAATTTTTCTTTATATTTTTTTAATGGATAATTTTAACAAATTCATAAGTCTAATTAAAAAAGAATAATTTCTAATTTCAAATTTCAAATAAAAAAATTCACAAAGTAGAGTAGTCAATTTTTTTTAAAAGAATTAATATATATATATATATATATATATATATATATATTTAAAATAGGTAGTTTACAACCTTTAAAATACGACAATAAGAAGTGATGTAATCGACTCATTTTTAAAACAAAAGAATGATGATAAACTAGTACTCTTATAAAACTATCAACGACATGAATCATAACAAAAATCTAAAGAAGCAATGCACTCTTTGACTTTCAAAGAAAGTAAATAGACAAATTAAAGATAGATATAAGATAGAAATGAAAATGGCTATTGTCAAATATAAAGAAATTAGAAATTCTTAATCAAAGTTAAGAAGGCAAGAAAGATGTTGACAAGACTAAAGAAGCCCTTATTCTTTCTTCCATGTATACTATTTAATCAATGAGTTATGTAGCAATATTCTATAAGTCATTTGATATGTATCCAACTTGCAAGTCTACCTATCTTTAAAAATGTTAGTTTAAAAGAAAGTTTCCAACATGTCTATCATATGGCTAATTTATACCACAAGTAGCTAATAAGTGCAATATGTGACCAATTTATAAAATAATTAGTCTATATATATATATATATATATATATATATATATAACACATGGCTAATTTGTTGGCCAATTTTTAATCTACGAATGACCTAAAAATACATGAAAAGTGAAATCCACATCTACAAAGCTTCTAAGAAGCTATTTCACGAGATGTTATTAGATTTACTTCTACTTACTTCTATTTAATTTCTCTTATCTCATTAGGATTTGTTTGTTTGTAACATTTTCAAACTCTATACAATTTAAAAAGCCAATCCTTTCAAAAGAGAGTTTTTTTCACAAAAGAAAGGATCTTAATAAAACTTTGAAATTGTGGCCCTTGAAAGTGGGCTTTTAGGTGTAAAGACCCTTCAAATATTCTTGAATATTCTATGTTCAAAGTTCAAAGATGGATACAAAAAAGTCTTGTACTACTTTTTAATACATAATTTAGGATCAAGGTTAAAAAATATATATATATCCTCAAACTTTACATCTAACTTTATTTCAATTTAGCACATTGTGCACATGCTTTTACTATCAAAATTAGCAAAGTTTGACAAGTATTTTATAACTCAAATGTGTATACTGTTATACCTCAATCACAAAGATCTTCTACAAACCTTATCCCTTAAAATACATGTACAAATTTTTCTAAGATAAATTTGAAAAGTTATAATCAATATGACATTTAAAAGAGCATATGTTTGTATAACATCACATACCTTTCTTATCACAAATATGACTCCTAATGATATTACAACTCCAGATTATGTTATCTTAATTCGTAAATTAAAGTGCCTTTGCAAGAAGAAAAAAAAAGTATTGTTCCACTAAACAAACAATGCAAGTACAACACATATATTCATTTTTGACAAATTATTTGCTCTTTATTTTGTTTCTCATTGGTTGTCAAAAGAAGAAACATCTGCCATGGAAACAAAGTTCAGGACCCAAGTTAGAATGTATAAAGAATTCCTACACTCTTCGGCATCCCCAGCACATATATATAAAATAAAATAAAATAAAAAAATCACATCGTCCAGCGAGAGCAACAAACGATGCAGCTCGTCCCCACCGAGCCACATGTGGCTATTTCCCCAAAAAAAAAAAAAAAAAAAAAAAAAAACACTCTGGATACAACTGGAAGAGTCAGCGGGGAGCTTCATCGGATGTGCCGCACTTGCAGAGCTGGACGATGAAGCATTCTTCAAAAAAGCCATGAAAGCGAGTCTGATCGATGGATCTCTCTCAACTTCGGCGTGTGTTGAAAGTATCATTAATCTTCATGAAACGGTGAAGCAGATATTTACTTGGAAACTATCTATCTATCTAGAAGCTGCAAGTAAGTGTGTGTGGGGAAAGAACTTGACAGTGGAATTCGCCGTTTATTTATCTCATTGAGCTGTGTGCTTTATGGGTGCACATCGATCACAATGTGGAAGGATTACCAAAGTGTAAGCGTCTGCTGAAATCTCTGATCAGACGATGGAAATCAATCTATCTATTTATCTCTCTCGCTCTCTAAAAACTGTGAATCGTATAAACAATTATCCCCTCTATACACTCAATCACCATCGTTTTGAACGAGTAATCATCTCCAATGTGGAGATAGGCCGATCTAGAGCACTCACTACACATATAAAACTCACGGAATGTTGCTGCTGTTGTGGTTGTGGTTGTCTATTGGTTTTTTAGGGTGGTTTGAAGCCTTAGCAATCTTCGCAAAATGGTCGCTAAACTATGCCACAGTAGGCCAAAATTGATGCGCCGCAGGGGAGATGTGCGACGCTATCGATTCAGTAGTAGAGATACTGAGGGTAGTCTTCGGAGTAATAGGTTTGCGCCAGCGGCGCCACGCTCTCGTAGCGCGATGAATGGCTGCGAGGGTAATTGCGGACGGAAGGGCTTGAAGGACGTCGATAGTTGAACGCCTCATCGTTTTCGGCAAGGTAGCTTCGATTCCTGTGAGGTAATCCCCACGAGCTAGAACCCCGTCGCGATGGCTCATCGTCGTAGGAATCGTACCCGTTTTGGTACGCGAGTCCTCGGTCGCTGCCTACAGTGCGAAACGGCTCGTCGTAGTAAGGGTTTCTGTGCGAGATCAGGCCGCGAGCTCTGGAAGTTTGCATCGGCCATTCCGCAGAAGCTTTTCGGTACATTGGCATGTCGCGAAGAGAGCGAGGGATGCGTTGCGATAACTCGTCGTCGTATGAGTCGTACCCGGTTCGGTATGAGGCGCGATATGGCTCGTCGTTGTAAGTGCTGCTGAATGAGACCCCAGGGTGGGCGCTGACGCGCGATGGCTTCTTATTGTAGGATAACTTGCTCGACGAGGATCGGTACACCGTTTCATGTCGCGGGGAGTGCTTCTTGTGGCTCGTTTTTCTCCGCTCGTGACTCCAAGTTTTGGTTACTGGGGTTTCGTTCCAATACTCAGATTTCTTCTTGATGCGCTTCATCTTCTTCAGTGCGGCGTGTGGGTCGACGTAGCCCGTCACTGTCACCCTTTCAGTGAACTGGTCGACGAAAACCTCGTAGACACCTTCCAGTTCTGAGAGCTCCTCACGGACTTTCTCCACACATTTCGTGCAACACATCGGCACCCTAAATTCGACTATCTGCACAGGCAATTCACAAACACAACGAACTCTGTTGAGTGCTGGAACAGTGGGCCAATTCTCTCGGCACTCCTGCTTTCCTTCTCCTCAAATCGCCATGTTGGCTATACAGGATTGATCAGAGGGCACCCAATCGTAACTTGCGACATCGAAGCTATTGAAGTGACAGTGGAATGTGCACATACCGGGAGCTCTCCCCACGATGTCCGGGAATCATCGGCCGTGTAATTGTAAGGACGCTGGCGATCTCTAATTTGCTGCCAATGTGGATCGTTTCCTCCGTAAAAGAACTGCACATAAGCGAAAACAATCAGTGGACTTGCATGATCATGTCTCACTATCACTACTGCTACAACAACTACAAATCAACTCGGAAACTAATCACACAATAGTCTCGCTATTGCCACTCGTCGATTCGCTACAACATCCATTCTCTACATGACCACATGCTTAAACCACATGCTTAAACCACATGCTATAACTTCAGTTTAGCTCTACGACGATCATACCTCGTCCATCCGCATCGTCATTCTGAAACAGTGGTGGGTGTAGTAGACCTCCAAACAGATCAGTATCTCTCTCTCTCTCTCACTCAGGAACACCACCCTCGTTGCCGCAACGGCGCAAATTGAGGGAGTTTAAGCGAAACAATGCTGTGGGTTCTCTTTGGCTCCTCCAAGTAGATAAATGTCTTCAATGTCCAAATGTTGATCACACCAGATTGAAATGTGCAGAGCAGGGTAGTTAGTATATATAGCAGATGGCGAAACCGCGTGTACAGCACAATCGAAATGTACCCAGCTCGTTCTCCGATGTGACGGACCACATATTCCCCAGTTGCAGACAATAAGCGAGGAAGGGCGGTGGACCGTGCGGTGCTCCAGTTCTCGGACCGTGACAACCACCTTGGCTGTTGCTGTGCCAACCCCAACTTGGTACTGGCGCACCAGGCCATTTAAAATTGGAAAGTGGGGGGGGGATGGGGAGGCGGGGGTGGCGAAGGGGTGGGGCGTAATAAATGAGACGCCAACTGGGATCCTCTTCTACACCTTCTGTCAAGCCCTCCCAGCGAACATCATGCCCCGCTTTCCTATGTCATCGACTTCGATGCACGTCCAACTCGGATGCGAAGGGGCGGGGCGGGGCTCTGTATTCGCTTCATCTGACAAGCGGAGATTCCAAGACTGCAACTCTCGACTGAGCCCTGCGGCTCTTCTTTTGCGGTAGTTTTCTCTACTTCTTTTTTGTTTTTGTTTGCATTCGATCCGAGGTGGACCTTTCTCCTCGCTCCGCTGCCAGCCCAGGTTTGAAGGAACCTCGCAGAGCGGATTGCGCAGCTGCAACCCCCGCCTGCCTGTCAAAACACAGAACCCTCACATGAACAAACAATACTTCTCACACATATGTCTGCATTATTGTGTTGGTCCCCCAGGCCGCCTCTGCAAGGAAGCGATCAACACAGCCATGACTCAGCCATGACTCACGCATGGGCCGATGATCTACTCCACGACGACTCGATGACTGTTTGCAGATTCCCTCCCACACACTCGAATACCAACAAAAAGCTGAAGAATATCCCCCACAAAGTGCACCCATCGTTGTCCGATGGTGATGATCAAGAAACGAATCCCAAGTCTGTTTCTACAAAACCAAGTGTATATGTATTCGAAGAGGAGGGGGTCATGTCGGTGAGCAAAGCTTGCTAGTTTTCTTGACTCCGATTACTTCAAAAACTCTTGCAACGACGACACTTTCGATCTTATGAGTCTCAACAAAATCATACATTCCGATGAGGCTTTCATGAACTTCTCATAAATCCATTATTTTTGTGTACAGAAGTGGATGTGTTGAATGAAGACAGAGTTTTGATTGTTTCAATTTCAAGAGGTCGTGATTTATGAAACGATTTGGTGGTTAAATGATGTTGTGAATGGGCCTTTGCAAGCGTTGGCATTTCGATGGGGAGGCTTTACTTCTATTTTTATTCGATTCTATTTGAAAATGGCTGCATTTGTGGGTTAGAATTTTGCAATGTATGTTATTTATATGCAGTTTACTTTTTCTTTTTCTTTTCCGTTTTAATTGCCTTGTTGGACCCATTCAAACAACATTTGAAATCAGAATCGAAAGCATAAAATTAGCAAACAAATTGTAAGACATTCTTGTCAGTTTCATTTGATCATTGCACGGCGAAAATATGCATTCTTATTTTATTGCCTTTGACTGCATATAATAATGCATATATATATATATATATATATATACACATAAAGCCACGCATGTATTTTACAACTATGTAAATACATACATTTCGCATCATTTCAGTCAAAGTTTGATATCCTTAACAAATACTGGTATTTATTTCTGTGCTAATGAAGTGTTCATTCCATTTAATGAAAAAATAAATAAAAATAAGAATAATCTAATGAAATCTAATGAAATGTTATTGATTTGAAGGCTTAAGATCTGTTCTTAATTCAATACAATTTTTTTATATGATGTTTTTAGACTGAAAAATGTAGAAGTGTTATGAATAGAATTATATTTGTGATTGGTGAAAATAATAATTAAGTACTATATTTTTGTAAAAAGAGCCAACTTAAAAATGCCAAAAGTATATTATCATACTATATTCATTATGATGATAGATTTCAAAGTATCATTTGTATTCACAGATTTTGAAATCTAGAAATGTGAGAATGTATTGATATCCCACAGTTGATGTAAAATTGCTGCGTCGTCATCAAAGTTCAAGTCCGGAGTTGTCCAAATAGTAAAAAATACGGAATATTCTTTCAAACAAATTATTCTCTAAGTAATAATGGTTTCAAGCAAAAACATGTAAATTTGTATTGTTGGCATTGACCTTGTAGCCCTAAAAATCTAAGTAAAACAATGCAAGCAAGTAATTCCATCGTAGATATTTGATTTTAAAAGTTAAGATCAATACTAAAATTGTAGTTAACATCAAAAAATAAATAAATAAATTTTATATATACATAATATTCAAGAATATGATTAGATACAATATTTTATTTAGTATCTTATATTAATATCAGTTGTCAAGTTTAGAAGTCTTAGGTATGCAAATTGAAGAATGATTCTCCAATTAAAAAGCATGTTACCTTACATGAGGTCTATTATTTAAATGATACAAAATATTTTTTTGATTCCGAATTCTAAGGTCAAGAGTATTATAATTAATAGTTACTTGAATCTTTGGTCCTATTCCAAGTATTAACACATCTGTTTCATTTTGAGGATTATAAAAAAATTACATCGTTGTTACATATTTAACACAAATATATATATATATATATATATGGAACTCAAGTGGCATGCTTTTGAATCTCAGTATTGTAGAATGATCAAGATTTCTCATGCTGAAATACTACCATGAGGTAAAACAGTATCTTGGCAAGATACTTTTTAATCAATTTAATCCTTTAGAGGTTTAGTAAAAGTGAGTTAGGGCTTGGAAGTTACCAAACAAATTTAAAGGATTAATATGGGATTTTAAAGATTTTTTCAATTCCAAATATTATTTTTTCAATACCTAAAAGTTACAGATTATTTTTAAATATTTTAAATTATTTTTGGTGCAACAAGAGCTAGTTTCAATTCTAAATTTTAGATTCCAAACCAATTAACTTTGATGTGATATAAATTAAGGTTTGAATTATTAACCATTGCTACCCATTTTTGTAATAAGCATAATAAATTTAAATTATTCAAAAAAATTAAAGAGTTATATAAAAAGTAAAAATAATGTGATATTTTTTTGCATTAATGTATGCTATGAATATTTTTAAAAGAAAATTTTATATCTTTTAAGAAAAAAAAATTAAAATTGAAGTTCAATTACTTGCTTTTGTGTGTAATTTTTTAAAAAAGCAGCTACATCTAACCAATTTTTACAAGAAAATAATAATAATAATAATCATAATAATAATAACAGTATCCTTTTTTCAATTCCATATAGTTTTTTTCTCAAAAACTTGCTTCGAAAATAATGTTTTGAATAAAAGTGAAAACAAGTGATCTCAGTGAGTTCAAACAAAATAAATTAAAATATTACATAATAATTACAGTACTTATAAAATCAATTATTTTGATTTCTTGGAGATACTTAAAATATTCTACTAACAAAAAAAAATGTAGTAAAATTATAATAAAAAAGCATAATTAGGAAACGCTGCACAGTCTAAACATAATATTTAGGCGCATTTTTCAGTCTTTTGAAAGACATTTTGAAATTATATAAAACAAACATTGAAAATAAAAATCAAAATAAAAGCCATAAACAACCTCAATCCCTTTTAAATCATGTGCATGCGACTCTGATTTCTTTTGGCATGTCTACTGAATAATCTTGCTACAACATATATAATTCATACAACCATTTATTGGTTTTATATCAATCTAATATGGTTGTATGGTTCTTGGTTTTGTATCAACCGTATCTAAAATTTACATATTTCTCAACAATTCATCAAAACATATTCAATACAGAACAAAAGAATTCCTCAAAAGATTGTTTACATGATTCGTTAACACACACACAAATGTGAATGCATATCTATGTATATAAATATATATATATATATATATATATATATATTCAAGCATTAGTTGCTTATTGAAACTTGCACATACATAAGAATCACATACCAGAAAATTATGTACACTTCCAACACATACCCATTTGTATAAACAAGTCTGAAATTGCTATTCAATAACAAAAGCTGAGAACTTCAAGCACTGTTTTTCAGTAATACTGTCAAAATTGAGTACGCCAGTCTGCACAAACTAACTAGAGTATAAAACTCCGAGAAGGATCGAGAAATTGTTAGACGTCTATGACACAAGCAGGATACTCTCATCCTATTACTGCACATTCCGGGCTAGTTACAAACAAAAACCACTGTTCATGTCCAAGTCGTTACCCTCAACCTAAAGACTCTCTGATGATATGGATCACTATAAAAATATAAAAAGAAAAGAAAAAGAGAAACTGGGTGATGTAAATACAGGAATCACCCACAATTTAGACGAGTAGCTCTTGATCTTTCCATTAATAGAGTACAAACTCGGTGTCAAGAAATAGCTCATCATCGAAGAAGCTAGAATCGAACTGTCGATGGTGGTCGTATGCATCGCCAGTTACACAATCTGGTGGACTGTTCGCAGGGCTTAGATCAGATGGACTGAAGGTTCGTAAGTAGGGGCTATGAGGACTGTTATGAAAGGTGTACCTTTGAAACGTAGGCCTGAGTCGATGTTGATGCACTACGAAGTTGGGTGTTGAACGGGGAATAGGAATGTCGATGCCGCCATTGTTGCCATGAGAGTCCTCTTCGTCAAGAGCAGCGAATGTTGAAGATCTGAAGTTGGGGTTTATAAAGCCGGCAAATGGACTGGCAGTAGATATTACTCGAGCTTGCCTGTTCACTTTCCGAACTTTTTTAAGGATGCGACTGGCGGGCACTATACCCGTGACTGTCACAATTTGTCTCTCTTCGTCACACACGACATCTAGTACTCCTGCACAAGGCAAATATACGAGAATGTTTTAATAATACTACAAGATGATAAGAACGTTGGTCCGAGTTTTTGTATGAAAACAGAACTTAAATTAGTTGTTAAGGAGGAAACCTAAAGCTGTGTAGTCCTGAGTTGAATATCCTAGAACATTCATCATGCTATTTCAGATTGTAAACGTACCTTTTATCATGAGAGCATTTTTCACCCTCTGAACGTCGACCTCGTCTTCCATCGGCACTCTGAGTTGAATATCCTAGAATCACATTAAAACTAACATGGTGAGTCTGGCAGTGCCACCGTGAAACTGGTATAAATCTACCACGCCAAAGTTCACTCAACAATGGCAGTCAATAAAAATCGAAGACATCAGAATGCCAAAGAAAAATCAATCAAAATACATGAGCACCCATTCATGTACAATTGTGAACCACAGAGACGTACCGGCAACACGGGAGGGATAACTCCAGATCCAAAGGGGTTATATGATTCCTCACTGTCGTCAGAGGAAGTGCTGCAAAGATCGTCATCATCGCTCTCCGTCTCCTCACAGTCGCAACAACCGGACGGGCGAAATTCAGGAACTCTCAATTTCCCTACTCCACTTTCTTGTATTTTTGCCCTCAGTATCACTCGCATGTCATCATCGACAATACCGGCAGCGTCAGATTTTTCAGGGAGACCTTGTGAGGAAGAGGCTGGTTGAGAAGAGCTTTCACCTTTGATAGCACTTGTCTCCGGTGCTGTAGTGTTCTCTACCGACTCAACGTTGCGCAATTTGGAATCGTATTCAGTTTCATCTCGTTCAATGGAAGATGATCGACTGGAGCGGGCTGCGTCCATGCTCATAAAATTCCCCTACATTCGAAACACCTCACTGATAAGACCTTCTTCAAACTCAATTTCATCCACTAAAGCTAAGAACAAGCTTGAAGTGCAACATTATAAATCATCGTTTGGCAGTTTCTTCATTGGTAACAGAAGTCTATGCACCATGGCTGCCAACTCTTATTCCCACACTGGTGTTCTACCACTGATGCACCATCGTTTCGCTTTCACTTTACCACGAAACAACACCTTGTGGATACCTTATGCACCTTTGGGGTTTAATTTTGAAGCAGGTCACGAAGATATCACACTACTTCGTGAAAACCTTCACATGGTTGCAACCTAGATCAAAACGTTGTACCAAACTGGTCCCCATAGAACTGACAACGGAACCCATATACTTCAATACTGCAACTTCTACTCCAAAATTCCAAAATAACTGTAACACACATCCAATTTCAGCTCATTCATATTGCATATTACCAAGCAATACCTGCAGGTATTAGACATCAAGCCCTATTTCGGCGACTTGCAAACCAGGAAATGAACCGGGAGCTCACCTCAGTCTGCTGGTAAGGCATGCACACCCTCGACCGCAACCTCCGCTCGTCCACAACAACCCTGGCCCTCGAATTATGCTTAACCCCAAACTTAAACCCAATTCAACTCCAACTCGAATCTTCAACACTCAAGGTCCTTCAAAATTTCTGTTTCGAGGTGATACACCACGGTTCGCAACAACTCGAGCAGCAGCACGAAGCTGAATATCCACGGATTCTCCAACAGCATAACCTAATGCCCCAAAGTGCAAGCGTGAAGACAATCCCACACGGAAAAAACTGCTTAAAACAGTAAAACCGTGGCCAAATCACGCCTTTCCTGAATGAAAACCAACTACTGGTTCATGATTCTCAGCAACAAGAAGCAGCACTGGACAAAATATCTGTTCGGCGTGTGTCGAGCAAGCCTGGGAAGGCTAAGTTGCTTATTATAGAGCTCCTTTTGAGACCAGAGCCGACCTACGATGGATCCAGCCAGATGCCAGTTCCCCAGAGCTGGCCACTCTTGAAGGCTTTTAGCAACTCCTTTGTGAATGCCACGTTACACTAAAAAATCTTATGAAACCTATTTATGACGCATCATTCATTCATTCATTCATTTATTCTTCCTTCCTTCCTGAGCCCATATCTTTTGCTTCTTTGTCTCTTCTCTGTTCCTGCAGAAACATCGGAACTGTCTCATCACCATTTGCAGCACAGTTTACTGCTTGTCACCCGAGAGCTTCCCAGTTTGTTTGTTTGGCCTGTTTCTTCTTCTCCTTCAACGGTAAACTGTTATTTCTGTTCTAGTGTTTCTATTCGTAGGTGGGGGTGTGTAGTTGGGCTTAGCCTTGTCAACCTCTGCACATGCTAAAGGTTCCTGTTTTGTTAGGGTGTTGCTACATGTTTTGTTTCGTGGTTTAAAGACAATCTTAGACCAATTTTTTTGGTTCGTTTTAGTTGACATGGATTTTGTGTTAGTTTTACTTCAAATTTGGTAAAGTAGAGAAATTTGGATTGTGGTTTTAGGGGTTGGCAAGTTGATTGGATAAAAAGATATTATAAAAGACTGAGTTTTTATATGCACTATAGAAAAGTTTATGACATTTATGTTATTGGAAGTAAGAAGTTGGGTGTGCAAAGTAGAAAAGAGATGGGAGAGAATAAGCTTGAGGAAGAAAAATCTACTATGCTTGAATAAGATAGTTTTTTTGGTTTATGGACAAGTTAAACTTAATTAACAAATTGTTTGGATTTAAATTTTGTACCATCAATTTTTTTTCAAGCAAACCATTTTGTGGTTCCTTAAATAATAAAAAGTGCATAGTTATAATTATTTATTGTCAATTACACAATATGAGTTGGTGCACTTGTTAAAGCAAATCTTTTTCCATTTTTGTATCTTTTGGAGGAAGTTTATTGATGTTGATAGGGGCAAGGATAAGAGTTGTTATAATATTTTTATCAACTTTGTCACTTGTGTATAAAAATGTTATTACATTTTATCAATTGATGTAAGAAAAAATAGGTAAATTTTTCTATGTATTATAATTAAAATCAATATAAACTTGCAGTATTTACTATAATAAAACAATATTTTTCAAAAAATAATTTGAGGTATTATTGTTCTTATGATTTTTTTTAAAGAAAACAACATGTTTCAATAATATAAATTTTAATTTTAATTCAAAAGTCAAGAAATCATAAGAAAAATGTTTACTTCGAAATATGACAAGATACCCAAACCCAAATCAAGCTTTAAGAAAATCTACAAGCAACACGATAAACAAGATTGAGATAAAAAAAAAATTGACATAAATAAAGATTAATACAATAGTGAAAAGTAATGAGAAGTAAAAATGTAATTTTATATGTAGATTCTTAGAGAAAAAAGAGAATTATGTACATTGCTTTGGTATTATAACCAAGTGCCTACTTACAATAGGAAAATATGACGTGCCCTGTTTGGAAGCTAAAACAAGTTTTAAGAATTTTAGCTTAATATTTTAAAAACGAAATAAGAAAAAGAATGACTTATATTCTTCTATGAAGTTTCTTTTTGTGAGGTTTATTATACCATATCGACTCAATTCATAATCACATATAACTGAATATAATAATATGTACAATTTAGTATAAATATAACAATTATGATTTTCAAAGATGAATACTGAATATTCCCCGTTTGGCATCATTTCAAATAAAAAAAAAAAAAAATGGTTTTATCTAATCTCATCATTAATCATCAATTTGCAATTTATCAACAAAAGTTATCTGGTAAAAATTAAGAAGAAATAAACATGTACATTGTTGGTTAAGCATTTACTTGTGCATTTATTTCATTTGAGCACTCACCAACACATCGAACATTTTTCTCTAGGGTCAACATTGGATTTCAAGACGATGGTCAACTATATCATCTAACATCTTTGCCCACAACCTAGAATATAGAACAACGAATTATATTGAAAAGTTCAAATTCTTTTCATAACAAAATTATAGAATCCACATCAATAGTATGTAACTAAAGTATGGTATTCGACAAACTTGCTATAAATACAAGACATCTCTTGAGGGACCATGATCCTAATCGGATATGAATGCAAGAATCCTGAACAGGTTTCTCTCTTCATTTTGTGTGACGAGATGAGTTCAAGGTCTTCCCTTGATCTAACCCTAAACTGCTGTTTCCATCCTATTGCTGAAGTTTTGCAATGAAAATCGGAGAGATAATAGTTGACAAAGTTAAGAATCCTAATTGATGCAACACTTGCTGAGTTGAGCTTGGCCAGAGTTCTCAGTATTGCAAACAGTTTAACAGTTATTCGTTCTAATGTATTTTGCTCAAATTTTAGGTGTTTTTCTTTTACAGAGTACCCAACTAAGTTTCGATTCATCTATACACCTACTTACTGATACCAAGAAGGAAAAAACAGTGTGATTCGTGTCCATGCATCAGCTCGAATTCTTAAGTGTAGTATTATATCGAGCTAATTACAGCAATTCACACTGTTTCTCGAAACTTCTAAATGTATCATGCAATGCCAACCAGGTTCAAAAGAAATCTCATAAGCACACTTTGATGCTCATAGAAATAGCCACATTACGCTGGATGAGCTACAAAGAGAATCAATTTTACAAGAAACGTTCGTATGTACAAGGTAATGTGGGTTACTTTATAACTTTCAAAAACAAAAAGAAGAAAAAAAGAAAAAAGTAACCGCAGAAAATTTTGCTCTCTGAATCTCTTACCCAGACAGTGGTCTTAGCTTGCCTTTCTAAGAAAATACAAAATTATACATTAAAAAAGTAAGTTTCTGATGTTATTTATTTATGAAGGCGCCAAACCTAGCTCAGTTCTGATAATGGACATTTACAAAAATGATGTGAAGTCTCCCTCTCACCGCTCAATACTCGCAAGTGACCTGTTAATAGCCACCGTATCGGTGGGGTCGGTAGTCCTCGTAATCCTCATAGTAGGGTCGCTCCAGGTGAGGATACGCTACATACGAGTTGGATCGAAGATGAGGAGGGCTGAGGGGACGCCGGTAGGAACGAGCATAAGAGCTGGAGCTGTAAGTCGAATCAACGGGGTAAGACCCATGGTTGTAAGTGCTGTAGGGGTGGTCGGGGATGAAGCTAATGAGCTTTGATCGCCTCTTGACATGTTTCAGCTTCTTTAGAAGCCGATGGTAAGGCACATTGCCGGAGACTGTTACAGTCTGAGTCACAGGGTCGCAATCCACAGACCGAACACCTGTGCACGTAAAGGAAGTGTATGAGACTAGTGCACATCAACTGATTCACAGAATTTCTGATCATCTGGTTGACAGTAATGATAGTAATGACATATAAGTGTATTATGTCAAATGAATACATAATTTTTATCGATCCTTTTCATATCTGGTAATACAATGCAGAGACAAGAATCATAAGCTAAGCAAATGACAAGGATACCCACCATCAATGTCCAGAGCGTCTTTCACCTTGTCAACGTCTCGCCTAGTCTCCATGGGGACTCTGAACTGGACATCCTGTGCATTTCAAAAACATTTGTCGATAAAAAGGAGCGAGGACAATGCTAAACTATGTCGATCAGCGTATTACATTCATTTTACAAATACGAAAGAAATAGACAGATGAACTGAAGGGATGGATGACATACTGGCAGCATTGGCCGACCGATTGAAGAATCGAAAAACGGATGGTGTAACCGAGAGGGAGGATACAGGGGATCAATGGGTCCCCCATAGTACACCTGCCAAACCAATACACGTTAGTCAATTATTACACGCCTTCAGCACAGTGCAGGCCAACAAGCAACAACAGTTACATGATCAGCATAGCTAAACACCGATGGTTTGGTTTGTCTCCTATACGTAATGTTGGCCAGATTTCACAAGACCACCGACGAAAATACAGGAGTTGGATACTGATCTATTTCAGAAACGTGCGATTAGTTATCCTTTCTCCCAGTGTGGCGATTTAGATGTGCAGGACAACCTTCTAACTGATTGTCTGGGATTTTACTAAACTGATTTTCAATGGGAACCTTGCAATTGATTCTTATAGAGTTTGCAATAACCACATGTCACCTTGAACTTTAGTCAAATTCACCATAGAGGCACCCATGCTTGGTAAGAAGATAAATGATCGAAAGCAACGTGGTATTTTTGGCATCTTATTAATCAGAGTATCATGTTTACTAATTAAACATTTACGTAAAGATTTACTGTTTGTTAATTGCTGCCAAAACCAGCCGAGCTTTGGGTCCGACATCGAAACTGCCACCCCATCCTGACCCACATCATCTTAACGGGCGAGGCTATGAAATTGAGTGACAGCTGCGCGTTTGGGGCTATTATCCAAGAGCTAAGTCAAAACCGACGTATAAAGATCACTAAGTAGTTTGAAAGTCGCCTCCCTTACTCTTCAAATAAACCACTACTTTTGAAGCGTGCTACTCTTCGTCATATAACGAATTGTTAACCTCACAAGCTCCCAAGAGCACCTAACTATTTCTTAGAAAACAGCCTCTACTTCACCCAAGTCTCCGCGTAGTACATACCTCATTGTAGGGGCTCGACATCACGGCAAGCTTGCGTTAACCTCTGGACTCTGCTGTAGTTGCCAATTCTGCGGCGTAAGAACACCTATAGAAACACACAAACACACACACACACACATCCCAGGAATTCAGAAGAAGAAGCAGAAAGAGAGGAAAAAACCATCCAAATTAAGAACCGAATCAGTGATTCTTACGCATTATGTATGAGAATTACCAATTGTAAACCATGTGACAACCAATCAACTTCATGAACTAACCTCACTACCACTACCTGCTAAAATTTGCTAAGTACATCAAGTTATGACACTACGAACGCCTAACCAATTCGTTTTGTTAAATTCACTAGTCTAACCTCATGCAAGGCTAAGCCACAACAACCAACAAAACAGTGCTGCATATTATGCAAACTGCATACAGGAGGAGGTGAACCAGCACAAACCCAAAATTAACTTCTGATATATCCAACGACACGGAGACCTCCCGAATCGAGTATGCTCTTCCAGTGCCCAAAAAGCCGACAATTCCACAACGCCACAACGCCAGCAGCAGCAGTCCCCTGCGTTAGAGCCTCGAGACACGATATGACAAATCCCTGAATCGTGTGATCATCGACAAGTTGCACACCCAAGGAGCGCGGACGGCGGGATCTCAGAGAGGCGGAACCCCTGAAACAAGAAATGACAAACTACAGAATCGTGTGAGCATCGGCAGCGGCGCGCGCATTCACAGGACATGGAGAATGGGATATCGCAGGAGGGAGAGGGAGCGTGGGGGGGGGGGCGAAGGTATATAGCGTCGCAGACTTGGCAGAAAGCAGGGCTCGACTGGAACGTGGCGACGAAAGAGCGAGATCCGGAGCGATGGCTGGAGTGTCGTGGCGTGCGCGATGCAGGGCTCTCTAGAAATCCCTGAGCACCGCGGCCCCACCGCGACTGGCTAGAGTGGCGATGCTCGCGAGGCTGGCCATTGTTGTCGCGCATGGCCCCGCGGGTCAAGATAATTCCCTCCCTCTCCCGACGTATTGAAATGCCCGCTCCGACGCAGCCCTAGCCACGCCCCTCGCTACCCCTCGTCGTAGGTAGTGGCTCCCACCCTACCCCCATCTGACACCGCCCTAACCCTAATTCTCCTTCTCGCTCCTTCATTCTTTTATTACTCTCCTATTGCTACCATGTATTATAGATTCTTTGTAGTTTTATCAATTTCTTTTTTTGGGATCATGATAATGTGTTTGGAATGTTGATTAGAAAATCATTGTAGTAGGCAACAATAATGTATTAGTTTTTTTTCTTTACTTTTTTTGTAAATATATATATTTAAGAAAGGTTTGTGTCTTTGTTGTTGATTACAACAACATAAAATGTATGTCCCAAGAGTTTATATCCAAACCAAAAGACTACGTGGATTGTATGGGCCTTTGCTAGTAGAAAGTTGTTTCTCTTAATAACATGTTTTGTTTTTAATGATGTCTAATTTGTTCTTTTGAATCCAAACTTTTATAAACTTCTCAAAATATTGTATCATTTTTTAATTGGAAATTTTTTAAGCATTTTTATTTTTTAAAAACTTTTATTACAAGATATTACCATCATATTCTATAAAACAATGTTATTTTTGAAAGCTTTATTTTGATGTTTGATAAATAAAAATAATAAGAAGTAATAAATAAATATTTTAGTATTGCATGATATTTAAATCACCTAAAAGTATACATCTAGAAATAGGGGCCACAAAAGTTTCACAACTTGGATTTGATGAATCTTTTTATTAAAGATCACTTTTTGTACGATGAAGGTCGGCCAAGGTCTTTAGGTAGGCCAATGGAAGCAAAATTGGCAGAATAAATTGATGACCTTTTCTCAAACTCTTTATGTTGTACAATACTTCTAAAACCAATGAAGGTCAATTTTTATTATTTTGGAAGATATAATGAATATCATTGCCATTAATTTTACGTTCTATTTTAAGTACCAAGGGATTTAATATTATTTCTTTTGTGTCAAATGAACCAAATTGAAGCAATTTTTTGGATTTAACTTATTTAAAATAACTTTTAATTAAGAGAGATTTGGAAGTAAAGGGCCTAATATATATAAGATTCTAAACTAAAAGGATAAAAATTTAGAACAGTTTCTAATCACTCTTGGTATTTCATATTTAGAAAAAAATCTAGAATAGTTTCTAATCACTCCATGAATTATATTCACAATAGAAGATTCCTACACATTAGTTAATTTTAAAAATATATATAATTTTTAAAAGAATTAGAATCTACAAAGCAAGAACAATTTGATAAACAAGTATCTCTAGAATTTATTTACTTATGTATTTATTTCTTCTTATTTTAAAATTAAAATTAGTCAATTATGTTTTGTTTTGTTATACAATTTTTATCAATATTATATTTTTATTTTTTTATAATATTTAATATATTTGAATTTTAAAATATCTACATTGTAAAAATAAAAGATATTTATCTTCAATAGATAGCATCCTATAATTTAAATTAATCCTAAAATAAAAATAGATTGTTAAGCATTAATTTTTATATTTTTAATATTCATAATTTAATTCTTTGATATATTTTTTTAATAACTTAGAATTATTTTTCATACAAATAATTTTTTTATAAATAAAGACATAGATTAAGTCACACCATATATGTATATATTCTATTTTCTTAATTTTTTAATAAATTATATATAAATTAATCTAAATTTAGATATTATTAGTATGTCAAATTAATTGGTTATAATTTTTTAAAGAATCTACTTAACTAATAGTGTTGCAAGGATAAATTTGGTTTCGAAACAAAATCAAGACCAAGTCTTTGAATATATTGGCTAGGAATGTGCTACAATCTTTAAGTATAAGTATTAGTTTTTTATTCCTTGCTTATTAAAAATTCTTTCTATAATGTTAGATGATTTGTATTATTTTTAGAAAGCCATTTCATACCATTATAAAGTAGATAGCATAAACAATGATGTAATTTATAATGAATAGTTTTTATACTAAGTATAAGCAAATAGGGCACCAAAATTTAAATTTTATTATTTTTAATAAAGAATTTATATATAAGTGAAAAGATTAAAGTGATTCTATATATATATATATATATATATATATATTACAATTTTTTCTAAAACTTTCCAACTTTTGATTATTTTTGTTTGTCCATGAAAATTTTAAGGCATAAAAGTACTATGTTGCACCAAATTTATATTAATTGATATCAAGGTATAGAAGTAGATTGAAGACAAAGATAGTATTTAGAACTAAGTCCATATTGTATTCTTTGCTTTTTTAAAAGATAATTCAGTATTTTAATTATTAATTATTTATAAGTTGGTTACACATATTATATAGTGAAATATTTATGATTTTGTTGTACCATATTGTATTATATAATTTGAAGTTTTATCTACAATATATATAATATGTCTATACATATGGGCAACTATGTGTTTTTATTTTGTAGATAGAAATTCTTATGAATTTTTTTTGTATATATTGATTATTATTTTGGTCTTTGTAATTATAAATCCTAAAATATTAATAAAATTTTAACTAATTCCAATTATTTTTTGACATTTAAGATACAATTTTTTATAATATTTAACCATAAAACTTAATAAAATTGAGCTTTAAGCATAATAAGTCATGGTCAAAGGATTTGTTTTGATAAATAACTATATGAATAAGAAATGTGTTGTGTAAAAAACATCTTAAAATTATATAAATATCATATTCTTTTAGTAAATTAAGTTACTTTGATGAATCAAATTTAATTTTTTTTTAATATTTAAAAAATAATATAAATGATTCTCCATAAGATAATTGGTTTAAAATTTTTAAGTACTAATTCAATTCTTATATTTAAGATTAAGGTAATTAGGCTTATGACAATGGTTTTAAAAAAATCTCTCTACACTATAGAATTTATTACAAACATTACACAATAATAGTAAATAATATACTAAAAAATCTCAAAGAATTTAATTACAGCATTGTTTATAATTGGAACCTTATTATTTTTTTAGAAATTTTAGATTTTTAATGAAAATATCAAAGAATGAAATTTTATCAAATAAGTTTTTTATTTAATTTAATTTTTAAGATAAATTTAGCTTTTATTGAATCTCCACAAAACAAAATAGATATTTAAAATCTATTAGTAATAATATCTTCTATTAAGAAAATTTGTAAATTTTGAGTAAAATTTTAGATATCTTTGAGTAAAATAAATAGTATGTAAAACTTATGGCATGTTAGAGGTTTATAAGATATATTTAAGTATACTATTAGATTTGATAAAAGATTATTTAAGAATATATATATATATATATATATATATATATTAATTCTATATATTAAGTGGTAGATAGAATAAATATTTCTTATTTTTTAAATGATAAAAAATTATAATACAAAAAATCTATGATATATTATTAAATTTATATTTTAAAGATCTTTTATATGGATATATCTAAATTGATATTTTTAAATTTTTATTTTATTTTATTAATTGATAAAAAAATATGCCATTTCTAAAGTACTTTTTTTAGTTTATTTCATCTTCCAATATTATAGAATGTATAACTTTATAGAAAATCAATGAAAAATTTAGATTACTTAATATAAAATCTAAAATCAATTGTTATAACTTGATATAATGGTTGGATTCTTATCAAAGTTGTTTCTAAAAAGGTTTTTTTAATCATAGACAAGGATATTAGAGAAGATTTATAAAGGTGATGGATTTGTGCAAGACTAACTAAAAGCCACAAAGTTAATTTTGGTCCTATATATAGGTAGAAGACTAGGATTAGATAAATTCTGAATATGCCAAGTGAACAAGTATTTACATTAAGGTAGGTTTTTAGTATGATGTTATTAAACAATTTTAAGATATTAATTATAGAGACAAAAACGTGTATCTTTCTAAGCAGATTGGTTAGTTGTGGTGCAAAAAAATCTACTCACTATTCAAATGTTAAATACTTGTTCACTTGGCAGATTAATTATAGCTTAATTATATTTTAAAATATCTATAAATTTCATCTAATATGTCTTATATACTTATGGATTATTGTAAATAAAAAGTGGAAGTTAATTAATATATTTATTTTATTTATATATAAATTTAGTTACCTCTTTAAAAGAGTATAACCACTCTAATGATTAATGCATACATGCATACACTTATTAGACTATAACCACTCTAATGTTATTAATTGCATTGCTTTCGAACATATACACATTAGAGTAAACGTTTATTAATTAAACTATTGAAAGTTCGAATCATCTATAGCTCTAAAAATCATTCCGCTTTACTCCATGCTTCGATCAAAGTTTTTTTTTTTTTTTTTTTTTTTTTTTTAATAATACATAGTCTTCTCTTTAATGACTTCTCTTTAAAAGTCTTTAATTGAGCAAATCAAAGCAATTAGATTCTGCTAAAATGCTCATATTCACAAATATTACAGTCATTGAACCCATATTGGAAAGCCATCTGAAATCAAACAAATGTCTAATACTTCGAAAACAAAGCATATTTTGAAAACATGGTGTCTGTTTGAAAGACGAGAGCAGGTGTGAAGTAGCATACGAATATTTAATACTCAAATCTAGAGCTAATAGATCATTCACGTCTGATTTCATCTCATTTCTTACAGCTTGTTTTCAATGAGATGAATTTCATAAAAGATGAGGTTCCAATGTATGAAACTGGACCTGCAACTAATCATTCGGAAAGGTGTCGGTGCAATCAATGTAATTGTGCATGATCTGGAATCACAAGATGAGTGTGATTGAGGCTCCAGTTGAAGGAAAGTTCTGTATTACAATCTTAATGACAGTTCATGGTCAAGCAGAGCAGACAATTCATACACAATGGTTCACGAAAATGGTACTCGAGTTTTGGATTAAATTCCAGGCCATCGATGAGCATTCACAAAAAGCTCTTGAACAAAACTTTACACAATTGGCATTCTTGGTACGATCCTAATCGATTCGGACTGGAATGCTCTCACAAAGCTGCAGCAGCTCTCAAAAGAGTGAAAAAAAACATATGAGGCCGCCCATGCCATCGCGTACTGGCAAAACCAAGACAGTTACTCTTAAAACGCAGCAGAATGTACAGCTCATGAGACTGACAGTGTACAGAGAGGTTGTGATCAGGAAACGATTTAAACAAGTCACTGGAAGAGTAGTTTGGAAAATCCTAGCAAGGTTTTCTTTTACCATCTGGAGAGGCGTTGTAATAACCTAGGTTATGATTTTTCTTAGTGGTGCGGCCACACTTCCGACTCGATGTGCTTGAAGTAGCGAGGATTAGTGATCACACGGCTGTCGATGTCGTCGTACATTGGCCGTGGGGCGTAATGGACTCTCTGCGCGATCGAAGGCGTGTGGCGGTTGTATGAGGTCTGGTAGACCGGAGCGGGTCGATGATGGTACCTGTACGGCATCGGCGCTTGATATGACGAAGTTCGGTACTCACTTCGGGAATTCTTCATGGACGATGGGTACTTCGCAGATGAATCGTGCGACAGTGGCTGTGAGTTCTTCTTCACCTTCCTCACCTTCTTCAGCGCTCTCAAGGGATCCACAAAGCCCGTCACTGTGACGAGCTGCGTGCTTGGATTCACCAACACCCTTTGCACTCCTTCAAGACTCACCAAGCTCTCCCGCACTTTCTCCTCGCATTTAGTACAGCACATGGGCACTAGCAGTTCTACTACGCGAGGGCGACGCCCATAATACGCACGGCCAGATTCACTCATGACCACGTAAGAAGGCTGGTTGGAAGAATAGAAGAAATCGTTCATTTCCATGATGGATCACTTCAAGTGAAGCACTCTGTAACTGAAGGTGGAGAATGAACAGGCAATGAACCAACGGTGACTGTCTCCAAGGCGATGGCCTTAGGATTCCGGCGAAACAAAGGCTGGACTCGGATAGTGTGTAAGTGAGGGCGCAGATTTGACGATGACAGTTTCACCAGGACAGGAATGTTTATAAATGTTTCCCTTGGAGGATCGAACGCGGAGGGACGCGCTTGACGAAAATAGTATTTAAATGCCTGTGGCGGTGTTCAAAAGGTAAGGACTACTTTCGGTCCCGTTTGTTTGTGGGAGCCCGTGCAGGGACGGCAGCAGATGAATATCCAAAATCCTCAAAAGAGGTAACCCCTTTTGTCGTAAACTCATTACATGCACTACTGGGTGGGTTCTATTATTATATTTCAGATTCATCGTAGCAGATCATTTTTTTCTCACCACCAACTTGAATACTAACTTGCCGATTACTCTAACGCTGCTGAGCACCCATTCAGCTCCTTTAGCAACGCAACATTGAACTTTCAATTTTGCTCGTCGACAACATGTAAACCTCCACTAGTTCCATAGAGTTAGATTTTATCACTACACAACTCGCAAAAAGTGCTAAAGATGGTTTCATTCCAGGAGGAACTATTTCATGAGAAAGCACCACATATGACTGGAGCACAGTATTGAGAATGGACTGTTCAGGTTTATCAATGTACCAAATTCCGACAGGCACAATCAAGGTTTGGTGTTAGGAATTCATGTCATCTCTCGACCCAACAATGAACTATTCAATATTCAAGGATTTTTTATTTTATTTTATTTTTTTCCCCTCAATTTTTTCTAATATTTTTGTGTTTTCACACAAAAGGTGCCGGCTTCTAACACTACAAACCCAAAAAACAATTGGCCAGAAAAACTGCAGTAATTCATCAACAAGCATCAACCACGGCATGTCGATTATTCAATAATATACGGGTACGACCACCGAGACGAGGGACTGAAATATCAGGCATCCTCTAAGTCGTTCTTCACACCACGGAACTAGCTGGGATGTGGGGCCGCTCCAAAGCCACAGATGTCAAATAATGCAGATGTATACGTTTCCCTTCCTGTGAGTGGGGCCCTTAAACTGCACCAGATATTACACCCTCAAAGCTTTCCGTGGTGTATATTCGCCACCTACATGACAAGGATAGCACCCGATGCTGTGGGCAAGTACAAGGTGGCTGTAGTTCCAAGAATTCTACCGACGTTGTAATCAGTTGTTAACACCGGATCAGGTCTAGGGAGAGAGCGTGGCGCAACCACACACGCTGGTGCCAAAAGCTTCGTGCTTGCGTGTCATGCCTTAGGACGTTATTGACTGCAAAACCATAGATCCGAATCGATGTTTTGTTTCCGGATTGCTTGGACCTGATGCCCTCATGGACCTCACGGTGGGCAGATCCACTTACAAACTCCCACAACTTCGAGTTGTTTATTTATTCAGGTGTTGTTGTTGTCGTGGTGGTTGGGATGAATGATGCCTTGTTGATTGATTGCTCCTTTGCTTGGACTGAACGCGTTCTCGTTTCTTTCTTCGTGGTGCACTTTGTGAGCTATGTTTGCTCTTAGAGTTGTAGCTTGTTGCACCAGAAACTATGTGTTGAAACTGATTTGCTTATTCAATTCGGAGCTTCAAATGAGCCAAATTGAAGAGAATGAGAGTGTGGGTAGTTGTCGGAGAAATTAGAGACCAATGATAGAAAGTTAACAGTGCATCTAATGGAGAATGTAACCTTATTAGGAGAATAGCTAGGAACGCAAATTAATTTCATTTATGCTAGGGTTGTTACATGTTCATTAAGATGACAAAAACATATTAACCAACTAGTTTAACTTTATTGGTTATTTTATTTTTAAAAACATGTTCTCTTTTCTTTGCTTGGCACTTTCAAATAGTAATTTTGATATATTATTGTTTTCAATGATTTTGGAAGTTTGTAGAAATCTTTTGATGAACCAAGAATATTAAACATATAATACTAATCATTTACTGTCCATTTATAACAAAATTAGTTAATTAGATGTAATAATTAGATATAATACTATTAGTATTTGGTAAATAAACACAATTCTAAAGAGGATTCAAAAAATTGTATGTACATTCTTGGAACTTACCTTTAATTTTTTTCTTCTAATAATTGCAATTTTGTTTTTTAACATTGTAGTTGATCATACTATGGGAGAAATGGTTGTAGAATAAAATAAAAAAAACCAGATATGATTTAACAAGGATGAGTAGATATATTTTAATTTTTAAATCCTATTATTATCCTATACTAATTATAAGAAGAATAAGCTAAAAAAATGGATAGTAGTAAGGCCAATGTTCTATAGATTGTATAGTGCTTTTGAGATATTTTTCATTTATCAATATTTGTTTTATAAAAAAAATAAGATCACTTCAAAAAATCACACTTCCTTGCATAAGATTTTTTGCAAGCAAGATTTTTTTTTTATTATTTATTTATAATACGAATTATATTATAATTATATATAGAAGTTTTTTATTATGGTATTTTTGAAAAATTATACATTTTAAAGTTTCTTTAACACCATTTTTCTAATTTGTTATCCACTATTGAACTGGTTTGATACCAATAGTATCTCAGCCAAAGTACAACAAGAAGTCAAAACATAAATTGTAGAAAGTCTCCAGCCAAAAGATCGATATACCAATAATTTGCTAAATTTTAAAAACTCGGTGAATTACAATACACATCTAATATTGTAATAATATATCACCCTTAGCTAAATTGACTATTAATCTTGTCACTTTACAACACTATAAGAAATATTAAATCCTATAAAAAGAAATAAAACAATAAGTATAGTTTTTTATGAATTTTTTAACCTTCTTTTTATTACAACCACCAACCGTAGTATACAAAATACTACTTTGAGAATTTAAATGGTTTAATCTTTTAAAAACAGTACATAATACATCTATTTGATATACTATTCAAGCTATTCAATATTATATTACAAATCCACAATCTTGAATAAGAAATTCTATTAGTATAATTATTTTAAATAATAATCATATATATATATATTAAAAAAAATTGTTGCTGAAATCACATCTTCATATTGCACAGTTTTATGATTTCTAAACTATATATTTGTTTAAGCATGATTAAGTTTTTTTTTTTTTTTTTTTTTTTTTTTTTGTTGTTGTTGTACCCTACACCTACTCAATATTAAATCAGACAAACTAATTTGGTCATGAGTGATGTGTCACTGCATGTAATTGGTTACCAATGATTCCTTTAAAGGAACATATGAACACATATGGCAGAGTTTCGGCGTTAAAAAAATAAAAAAATAAAAAACAATTTCAAGGTTTGTATTAATCTTCTACTAACTAAAACTCATTTTTCTTTTCATGTGAATAAGTTTCAGCCGCCATCTGCTCAGCTGGTTCAATAACAGGCCTCCTACAATTTCATGCTGATCTTCATCTCAATAATCAATCATTATCTTCAATATCATATAACGTTACATGGCTGTAGATAAGTTTTAGTCGCCATCTGCTCAGCGAATCGAACCTCCACATCAGTAAACTTGACTTGAAGTGTTACTTACTGCGAGATTATCTGAAAACAATCGATTACCGATCCTTTTGTAACGATTCAAAAACGGATCGAACATCTGCCAATGTTTTGTGCTGACCCGGCTTGTCAAGTTGGATTCATTTTCACAAAATGTTACACTCCTGGCAATTCATCGTCGACGGAGTTGAGAATTTCTTGAACCATAGTTTTTACCACGTGAATCTCGGTCAAGCCTCCAACCAAGACCTGCCACATATCGCATCCTCTGCAAACTTATGTCCACATGGAAAACTAGCTTCAGTGTGGTGGAGCCAGCGCCCACAATTGCAATAATGAGAACCAATCGACAAACAACACCTGTTCGTGAGTAGGAAAAGGTGACAAATAAAAACCTACAACTTCGCAAGTTCAACGGAAAATGCCAGGATATATATGCGTGCGTCGAAGTTCGATCCCAAGCAGTCTCATCCTGATTCCTGTTCTACATTTCTGTACGCCTCAGTCCACACGACTACTTGCCCTCATCGAAACTGATCAGGTTTGCGATCCAGTTTGTTTCGAGGGATTATCGGGTTAGAATTTCGAATCAAAGCTGAATCGTAGTCACAGAAATGGCGAGCTTTCTCTATGGCAGCAGCGACCCCACGTACTATGTCGATCGATCTCGCTACACTCCCTACAATCCCGAGACTGGCTACGGGTTCGGCCAGTCTCGAGTAATTGAGCTTCTAGTTCCAATGTGTTGCCTCAAGTGTGAGGAGAAGATTTATGAGGAGATGATGGAGCTCAGAGGAATTCAGGGGGTCATGGTGGACCGGCAGGCGCAGCGCGTGGTCGTGCACGGGTTTGTGGATCCCTTGAAAGCACTGAAGAGAGCGAAAAAGGTGAAGAAAGACTCCCAATTGTGGAGAGGGGCACCGTATGGAGAGCACAACGTGTTCTCATCTTCAAAGTATCGGCGCAGTGCATATCGATCACCTTCGATTTACCGATCTTCCTCATTCGAGTACCGACCATCAGCATATCGCGCGTCATCGTCTGCTTATGGGCGGCCTTCGGTGTACAGATCCTCCTTGTATCGATACTCGCCTGCTTATGGTCCAGCTTCGTCTGTGCGCCAGTCATGGTCAGTATACGATGACATGTACAGTCCAGGTTATTTGCACAACGTGGAATATGGGTACCACTAGCATCCAGAGGTTTCATGTTCAATGACATGAAAGCGCCCCCTTGTATAAAGACACAATGTTATCGGAGAGTGTATTAACTACAATCCTGCCTGTAGAAATCATGTGCCCTTTCTTCGTTCGACCATGGTTTTTGAGGCGGGCGAGTTATAGAAGGCCCGTCTTTTACTGCTTTTTAATGAGGAGACGTCGAACTAAGCTACATGTGTGCACATGTACATGTTGATTTGAGTTGGAGACTTCTTGTAAGCTCAGCGAATTTTGAAATTGAAATGCGGTTCTTGACAAGAAAAATATATTTCAATGGCCTGGTGATAGATTTCTGAGTGTGTTGGTGTTGCCAATGTATACATATATGATGACTTGCTGTGAATGTCGTGCACGGATCTATTTTCTATGGAGTGCATTACGTGGAATTTTTAGCTTGCTGATCTGGAGAGCATCGAAGGGATAGTAAGGTAAACTGTGGCATAACTGACTCACTTTCCTTCCGAGTAATAAAAACTTGCAAAATTTCTATCGCACCTGCGGACACTTTGTAGACGAACATCACATGTCCCGTCAATATGTAATGTGTTTACACACTGACGTGAAGAATAAGTACCAGACAATGTTCTTGTGCCGAGAAACGTATCACTTCTCACGTGACTCAATAGAAGGTGCATAGCGTCAACAAAATAGTTGCAGAACTTGAAACGAAAAAAGTCTGGATCAAATGGGTCTTCCCTCTGCCATGTGGAATCCCGACCAGACAGTTGAAAACAGGGTTGTGAATTCAGATAACCTCAAGGTGAAATTTGTTCTTAATATTTGAGCCAAACCCGCAAGAATCTGAAACTCTTAAGCGAATATAATCAAAGGAAAATTGTGTGTAAATTCTTGTGAGAAAGTGATCACAGGTCATGCCTTCCCTAAGCGCGATTTTTAGGCATTCATATTTGCTTTATAGCGAGGTTTTCTATATATCACTTGAGCATGTACAATCAGAAGGTTGACGTTGCTGAGGTCCAAAATTGCTTTAACAACTTAGGTTATGGACATCAACGTCCGACTCATCTGACGACCTCTTGTGTGATTTCTTAGTGTCGTCAGACCCGTTCCAACAATAAAAAAATACATATATTTTCAGATTACTTATATTTAAAACTCTCTCCAGTTTTGGCTTGCATTGCTGACTTCTCCCTCGGCATCAAATGTTTTTTTCCTGCCCTTAGTTACCATCCGTCAATCGCCCGAACAGCTATTATTATGAACATGATGTACTTATTTCAAAAAGGTGCGAGGCTTGTGTTTTCAATGCGTAGTTCCACCGCCATGGCGTAGTTACACAGAATTATCATTTCAGAGGCGCTCTGTAACATTCGTAGAAAATCGCAGGATCAAACCGTGTTGGAACTACGTGTGCAAATATGAGCGGAACAAAACACTCTTGCACAATTCTTACATACCACGTTCATGTCAAGATACCACTGTTGGTAGAGTTAATCGAATGATGCGTTGAAAACGAAATTGCTTGCAGTGCAAATAAACTCCTGCTATTATCGATCAACTACGATTAATGCAACCTGCTCCTCAGGTTTCTCAAACATTACTTCCGAGTTGCTAACTTCGAAGACTTAGATAGGACTAGCTTACGAAACAGATCATGTCATCTAGATATTCCACCACCAGATTTGACCCACTGTTGTCTATTCTAGGAAGACACTGCAGACGCTCCACGTCCAAATCGATTCAACCAATCCATCCACGTCAAGGCCCCATAAATCTTGCTGCAAATTCAGATCTGTCGAAAACTTTTCCTCGGCCTTGCTGACCAGCAACACCAAGTACTTGTTCGATCAATTCCGATCCTCTATCATAGTTGATCCTTGTGCTGCAAGCATGATATTTTGCTGCTCCATCTCGACTCTGAATAGCTTTATGTTACGAGCAGAAAAGCTTTATGTCACTGTGTGTGTGTTTGTATACATATATAACTGTATGTATGTATGTATGTATAAATAAATAAATAAATAAATAAATAAATAAATAAATAAATAAATAAATATATATGTGAGTGTAAGTATAAATATCTGCTGCGGTGATTCAGTACTTGGGTCCACATTGTCTCTCACTCCACCATAGATTCTACTATTGAAGAGAATGCAATAGCTGCAAGAGACTAGATAAACATGGCAGGGATACAAGAACTCAGCGTGATGAGCGATGATGAGATAGCGTGTGTTTCTTTTTTCTTTTTTCTTCCGTTTAGAGATCCAAAATTTCAGCTACTGAAATTGGACACAAAATAAGAGTGTTGTTGAACAGGATTTACCCTATATGTGATCTAGGCTAACCAAGGTACCAAGAACCTTCGCAGCCTCACAACATAAAAGGGGATGTGAGCAAGTGTATGATATTGATCCTAACTAACATTTACATGTAAATCTTAACTAATCCGTACATGAGATCTTGTATTTTATATAACTGTAGTGTGAGACCAAATTGAATAAATGTGTACATTTTGAGTACAAATAGTAAGTTTTACAGCAACTTCTCTTGCTCAATACAAGACCTCAGACGATCAAAAACTAAGAAACCAAATGTGTTAGTGATTGCCCTTTAATGAAGCTCTTATAGGTTTCAGAGCATTTTCAAAGAGCCTACTTGGTAAATATATCAACATGTTGCATATCAGTTGCTACATGTTTTAGTAAAACTTCCCATTTCAAAATTCTTTTTCTCACAAACTGATGATTGGCCTCTATGTATTTTGTATGAATATGAAAGTTAGGGTTTTGTATAAATCAAATGGATGCTATGTTGTTGTAACTGAGATGCAAGTTAAGTGATGTTGGTATATGTACCTTTGACACGTCACTTTGAATGTCTTTATCTGTTGATTGAACTATTTTCTAAGCAAAAATAATATCTTATGCTTGATTAACAAGAGTCATAGGTAGATGCCTTCTTTCATGGCTTTAAAGAGTGCTTTGTATTAAGATCTCCTGTATTATTAAATTATGTTGATTGTTGTTTACTTGAAAAATTAATTGAACCATTAATTAGTATAAAAACATATATGGCAATAGACCAATAAGTTTCTAGAGACCCAAAGTAGTATGTATCGGAAAACTCTTCTAATATGATAGTGAAAGATTGTTTAAAATATATTCTTAAATTTGTAATTTTTTTAATCCCATTTGGATGTTGCTATTTAGGTTTAGCCATGACTTTTGCTACAATCTCCATTGAATTAGAAAAATTGAACTATGCATTGGTTAAAAATAAGAGCTTATCTACCATTTGGTAATATTGGATTATATCTACTAAATTGCTCCAATATCATATTAAGTAATAAAGCCCTCAAGCAAAAGAGTGTGCTTTGGTCTACATTCTATTGTACCAAAATTATTTAGCACATCTTTCAAGTAATATGTTGTTAGAGAACTACTAGAACTCAACTGCAAGATATTTTATAATTTCATCAATGTCCTTCATTTCTTACTTCTCTCTTAGCTACTTTTTGATTTTATTAATTTGTTTCTTAGTATTCTTATTGATTAAAATATTACCAATGAAGAAGAAAAGGATTACTATGGAGGTTCATTTGATTAAATACTAGAAAATGGAATTAGAGTAGCTTTGTATTCAACCAATATTTTAAAAATAAGAATAAATTTCTTGATAATATATCTAAGATAACTGCTTCAATATGTAGATTGATATGAGTAGTTGGCATATGAGGTGCTATAGTTTAGCAAATCTAGTTGGTTGTTGCATGTTTGTGAGGACTCAAGTATATTTTTTCCTAAATGAGTTATATTCTTCTTACATAGTTGTTTTTTATAGTAGATTGTTAAGAACTTCTTCAATCTCCATAATGTCACTTACTTGGTTGGAAGTTTTGATACTATATATATAATTATTTTTTAATATATAGAGATTGTAGTCATAAAACCATGTGGATATGATGCCTTTGGTGCTTTTGAAGGACTTCTAAATTAGTTAAATAGATGTTGATTTAATTTTGGTTTAGAGGGAGGGATGTCATCGCATTGTGCTTTTAATGCATGCTGATATTTTGGATCTCTATAAAAGATATCCTCACGTATCAATTCATTCTTAGGTTTGTCTTTGGATTGGATAGTTATTTATACTTTTTTCTTTGGCTCCAAAATCAATATAAATATATTAATAGAATATAATAAATTACTAAAGAAATTAAAAGCTATTTGTGATGAAGAAAAGTCTTTTGGCTAATCTTCAAAAAATATTATTTTTGGTGAGATGAGGATTTTTTTCTTAAAGAGGGTAATTATACCAATAATCCTTTGTGGAGACATTATATCTAATAAATATATATTTTATAGCCTTTGCTTGAAGTTTGTATTTAAATTCCTTCAAAATGAGAATGTATGTTGTGCATCTAAGAATGCAAAAGTGAGCAAGGTCACATTCTTATAATAAAGCATTTTAAAGGATATTTTGTTGATGAGTGCATATATAGGATATTGATTAAGAATGTATGTTTTAACTCAGATTGTTTTAAGTTATAGGAAAGATGAAAATTTTTCATCAAAAAAGATGTTGTGGATGGATTCAAAAAGAATGCAATTATTTTATTCTTCAATGTCATTTTAATGAGGAGTTGATAGAATTGTAAGTTATTATTTTGTATTGTAGATAGTGAAAAATTCTAATAAATAAGTGGAGAGATACTTATTGCTTTAGTTATTTTGTAGGCACAAGATTCTAAACTAAAACCTCTTTTTGATGAATTTTTTATAAAATTAGAAGTACTAGAATGCCTTTGCATTTTCAAAAAGTAAATCCATATAAATTAAATAAAGTTTTCAATGAATGTGAAGATATCCTTATCCTTAGAAGTTGATGTTAGCAATCCATAAAAGATCATATTAACGGATTCAAAAGGATGATTAATTATGAATTGAATCCATTTTGTAATTTTTTTCTTGTGTCCTTTGTTCAAAAAATCTTAGCTTTAAAGACTTTTTCTTAGAAAACCTTAGCTATAAAATTCATTAGTTAAGAAATCAAACAAGTTGATGCAAAATATCTTGTAGGTGTAGATGTTGATGATGTAGCCACCAAAGTCAGTTTGGATGTAGTATTGGCGGTGTCGTGTAGTAACACAACTATTTGGTGAAAGAAGAAAAAATATATATATATATATATATATATTTATATTTATATATAATATAGAAGCTTAAATAAAATTATTTTAAATAATATTATCTTAGAAATATAGATAATAGATAAGGAAGTAGTGAAAATATTAATATTACCTTTTTGAAGAAGAGACTTC